GCTAACATAAAAGATAGGGAGGTGCTTGATTCCTTCCGACCGGACAAGCACTGCACTAACTACATGCTGTGAAACGGCCAGATAAAGGTAAAGTTCTTCGCCGGGCTTTGGTGTTACCAACAGTGGCCCCGAAGACAGATACTCCTTGAGCTCGGCTAAAGCCCGGTCACACTCTTCATCCCACGAGAACTTTGACTTCAATGCTTGAAAGAAAGGACGGCGGCGATCTGATGACCGGCTTATAAATCGATTAAGCGCGGCGACCATTCCGGCCAGATGCTGCACGTCCTTAGCCGAGCTAGGCTGCTTCAATTCTTGTACGGCTCTGATCTGTGTGGGGTCTGCTTTGATGCCTCAGTTCGTGACTAGGAAGCCTAAGAATTTTTCGGATCCCACGCCAAAGGCACACTTAGACGCATTAAGGCGTAGCTTGTGTTTTTTGAGAATGGCGAACATCTCAGCTAAGTCGGACAAGTGGTCTGCTTGATGTCGGCTTTTAACCACCATATCATCAATGTAAGCCTCCATTGTCCGGCCGAGCAAAGGAGCAAACATCTTAGTCACCATTCTTTGGAAAGTCGCCCGGCATTCTTCAAACCAAAAGGCATGACTCGATAGCAGAAGAGTCCCCTTGGTGTAGTGAATGAGGTGGTCTCTTGGTCCGGGTCATGCGTGGCAATCTCGGGCAGGCTCGGTTGTCGGTTTTGTAATCCACACAGACTCGCCACTTCCCATTTTTCTTGGGCACCACGACCGTGTTTGAAATCCACTGAGGATAGTGCACTTTTTGAATTGCGCGTGCCTCAAGCAAGTTCTTCACTTCTTCTGCAACTACCTCGGCGTGATGCAGCGTCAATCTCCTTGTTCGCTGAATGACCGGCTTGGCTCCGGGGAAGATGTTGAGGTGATGGCAAATAAAACTCGGATCGAGGGCGGGCATGTCGTAAGGCGACCATGCGAAGACTTCGATATTAGCCATCAAAAACTCAACCGGTTCTTTCAAGGGCGGTAAGGCTTGAGCCGAGCAAGAAGAACTTGTCCGGATTCTCTGTATCAATTCGTACTTCCACCAATTCCTCAACGACTTTGTCCTCGGCCTTAGTACCCATATCATCAAGGACTCCCCGGTCTTCCGGTCCTTCAATCATTTGGACGAAGCCCTTGGCAGCCCGACTCCCGTTCACTGCCACGAAGCATTGCTTCGACATGACTTGATCGCCCCAAATCTCCTCAATTGCCCCCATAGCCGAGGGGAATCTCATTACCTGGCGATAGGTTGACGCCACGGCTTGCATAGCGTGAAGCCATTCTCTTCCAAGGATCAGGTTGTAAGTAGATGGCACCTGCAATACCCAGAACTCCACCTGCTTAACCACGAATCCCGCTTTGACCGGCAGGATAATCTTTCCCAAAGGCCACTCCGATTGTAAGTTGAAACCAACCAGTGGCGAAGTTGCCGGAGCCAAATCTGTATCCCGGAGATTGAGCTGTTTGAATGCGTCATAATACATGATCTCAACCGAGCTTCCCTGATCGATCAAGATCCGTTTGACATTGAATTCTTTGACGCGGAGTGTAACCACTAGGGCATCGTTGTGCGGCGTCTGAATGCGCTCTAGGTCCCTTGAGGAGAAACTGATCACATCTTTCTCTTCGGTCTTTCCCCTCTTGATCGCAGGCTGAACCGATAAAACTTCCCTCATGTGTTCTGCCCTCTTGATCATACCGCGGAGCTCGCATACATGCGCCGGTTCCACTATGCCATGGATGACATTAACAACCCCTTGTGGAGGCGCATCCCGGTCATCCGATCCCCGCGGATCAACCGGAGCTTGATTTGCCTTCACGCCCCCATCAATATAAAGGTCCAGGTGTCCGGCTGTTAGTAGCTCTTCCAAGTGTTGCCTCAAAGGCAAACAGTCCTCCATCCGGTGGCTGCGCTCCCGGTGAAACGTGCAACGGTACCGCGGATTGAAGCCCTTCTGTCCATCGCCCAACTTAGCAGGAAATTGGACATACTCCTCGTCGCGGATTTCACTAAGTATGCTATAGATTGGAATCTTAAAGACCGTGGTGATACCTGTCCTGGCCGTCAACCTTCTGTTTGCATTGGCTATGTCATCCCGGGGGTAGTCATCCCAGTCATTCCCATGTCCCCTACCCCAGTTTTTGCGATTTGAGCCACGGTCCGATTCCTCAGCGCGGTCATGTAAACGGCTGGATTCTTGTCTGACCGCGTGCACTTTGCCAACCAACCTCTTGTCCATTGCTACCAGAGTTGCCTTCGCGATAGATGCTGATGCATCATGCTCCACTCGGATGTGCTCATTGATGCGCTGCATTAGCTGGCCCATAGATGTCGGCTGGTGCATGGTAAGCGAGTCCCGCAGTCTATGTCCGACCGAGAGACCACGCTTGTATTATGTGATTGCAAGGTTGACCGGGCAATCCAAGATCTCGTTGAAGGTCTCCCAATATCTGGAGTTGTATGCCTTCAATGTGTCATTCGGTTCTATCTTGACACTCAGTAGGTGATCAACTTCCTTTGGCGTGTTAGTGTTGGTTTTGAAACGCGTCACAAAGGCTTCGGCCAACTGCTGCCACCTTTTAATACTCCCCTCCGGCAGCCTCTCAAACCATTTCAAACCCAGCTCGCCCAAACTCGACGGGAAAATCAAGCACATAAGAGCATCATTCTGCCTATGTCCGGCCATGACCTGTCGGAAATGACTTACATGTATATACGGGTCGGTTTTTTCGTCGTAGAGCATGAACTTTGGCCGGTGGAAGCCCGCCGGAAGCAATGCTATCTCTATATCCACGAAGAATGGAGTGGCACTCAGCCTCGCCAAGTCTGTGTCTACAAGGAGAGGGGCGGTTGGGCAGGGTGGAGGCATTCCGACCTCTTCGCTGGCGTAAACCCCATAAGATAGCCGCTGGAACGCCAGCACCCTCTGAGCCTCTTGCCGGTAAGCCCGTTCCTTCAAAACTACCCGTAAATCCTCTAATTGAGCGGGATAAGAATACCTCGACGTCGTCTCCGAACGTGAGGGCTGGTAAGTGCTATCTTGCGCACTGGATTTCTCCACGTGGACGTTGGAATCTCCAACCTTGTAACTTCTAGTAATAGAGATGGAAGGAGTATACCGCTGACTCTGACTGCCTGAACGGCGGGGTTGGGTGCGCTCACTGTGGTCTCCCCCTCCAGCTACACCCTTCCCTTTGACAAGCCGCTTGAGATCTTTCATCTCCGCCGCCATTCGCCGGATGACAGCATCTTGATCCCTCAACTTGCTTTCCAGTCGCCTGGCGTGCGAGTCTCTCCTCCGCCGGTGACCGTCTGGACTCCGTGAATGTCCATGACTTCGTCCGCGCTTGTCCCGCATTCTCTCCGCTGCCGATGACCGTCTAGACTCCGTGAATGACCATAACTTCTTCCGCGCTTATCGCGCGCGTCTCTTGAGTGTCCACCTGGAGAAGTCTCTAGGTCCGCCATCGGAGGAATGATGGTAGGATGTTCTTCTCTCCGTCTGCCCGACTCCGGGGTAACTCCGTCGACGGCGGACAGCGGAATCTCTTCATTGTTCGCCATGGACGGCGATCAGAGGAGCCTGAAAGACAAGGTTTTGTCTGCAAAGTTCCCACAGACGGCGCCAATTGTGCGGGAAGCAAATATTCAGGCAAGCCTGCACTCCTTTCTTCCAAATTCCTGCCCGTCCGATCGACCTGCGAACACAACGGCGGTGAGCTACCCGGTGGTGTGTGGCCGGAAAACCCCTCCAACGATCAAGTTAGACACACACACAGGGATAGAGAGAGAGAGCGAGAACTGAGTTGTGTTTAGTGTTTATCTCACCAAAAATGTGTCATCCTCAGTATGGAGGGCGCAGACTCGCTTATATACCTTCTGCACACCAAATCTACTCCCATTAGTCTCTCGACACGTGGTGCTGCTATCCCATCTGTCAGCACAAATCTTGCTGAACACCACCTAACCCAACTGCCAACCCACTCTACTAGGAGCTCGGCAGCCGAATTGCAGCATCTCGGCTGCCAACAGCCATGCTGCACTTCAAGACCAAGTGCTCCAATAGCCAAGCTCATTGAGGACCGAGCTCGGCTGCATCCCGGCAGAGCCGAACTCGGGACAGCTCATACGAGTTTGCCACCGGCCTTCCTACCGAGCTAACTCGTGAACCGTGGAACATCCACACCTTGCCTGATGCCGGTTATCTCACTTGACCGGCTTCTATACCATAAAGCCACGTAGCTCGGTCCGACCATGCCTGGCTTGGTGCCGGACATCTCACTTGACCGGCTTCTATACCATGAAGCCAAATAGCTCGGTTGACCACGCCTTGCCTTAACCGAGCAAAACCTTTCAGGATAGGCCCGTTTCACCGCGGCCCAAACTTGTTCGGCCCAAATCTGCCCGGCCATTACCCCGGCCCAAACAAAACCATAAATCTCCCTCTCATAAGCTATATGTAAAAAAACTCAAATAGCACGCTCGATATATAATATCTTGGTCTCTTATATTAAAACAAGTTTTCTTTAGCATTTCTTCGAACATATTCTAGGGTCGATCCAAGCCCGTAACAGAAGCAAAATACCAAGAACCCAAAAGTTTCCTTTACAAACCTAAAGATAACTTTGAAATACCAAAGTTTGAGCTGAAATTAATCGAAATTTTTAAATCTTGAGAACTTACAAATATTAAAGGTAACATATAAGGGTTTGCCTACAAATGAATGGGAAGTTTAGTATCAATTGATAATCAAGAAGGCCATAAAACACACCATCAATCTTCATTATTCAAAAGCTAAAACCACTCATAATTGGAATGCCAACTAATTCTTTGTCATATGTAGAAGTTAGAACCACTATCTTCAAGATTTGAATCACCAAAAGTCCGATAATAATTAAAAACTGTAATCAATTTTTACACCAGGGATAAAGAGAAATGAAGGGCAGTCCATGTCTGCAAAATTATGAATTACCTCTTCGAGAATAGTTTCACCGTCATTGACAATCTTTGGAGGTCCATACTTGTTTTGCAACACCACATTCCTACCCTTTGGACCCAATGTCACTCCCACCAACTCTGTCACCAAGTCCACCCCTGCCTGCACAAAACAAAACCAAAACAAACTAGTCATTACCACAGACTAACCACATTGATCACAATTTCCAGTTACAACTCAACGGTTCATTAGGGTTACGACACAATGTGGTTGAATCATAACATCAAACACATTGCATAAGCATTACAAATTGGGTCCGGGTAATGTTAACAATACAAAATGCCAAAATATTTATAACCCAATACACTTTTTACACACTTTTCAACACTAGCACACTTTTTCAAAACTAACAACAACCTAAGGGTTGTTTTTAGCATTTTTCTTACAAAATTTGTGAACAACAATTGGGAAAGTGAAAGAAGAGATATTTGGGCTTGAAATCCAGGAGTTTCTTTGTAGCAGAACCACCATGATTGAAGTAAAGCTCTTTAGCCATGGCTCTTGTTTTCAGTTTCCTATGAGTGAAGATGCCATGGTTGGTTGTTTCAGGGCGTGAAATTGGTTAAACCAACAATTAAAGTATCTGTTCAAAATTTTGGGATTGGCTTAAGAGGGTACCATCATATTGTGAACTGAAGGATAAGACTTTGAGAGAGAGAGATTGGTTAAACCAACAATTAAAGTATCTGTTCAAAATTTTGGGATTGGCTTAAGAGGGTACCATCATATTGTGAACTGAAGGATAAGACTTTGAGAGAGAGAGAGAGAGAGAGAGAGAAAATATCTAAAGAAACCATTTTGGCGCTATTATAAGAGTGTGGGAATAGTTGAATACAGATTGGTTGTTATTACAGTTTGAAAAGGGGTTGTCAAAATAAAAATATTTTCCCCAAGGAATGGCTTGTGACATTAAAATTTTAATTTGGACTAGTTGATCAGTAAAAATTATTAACGGAAGATTTTGATCAGTAAGAGTCAGAAAATTTTTATCAGTAAAAATTTTTAAAAAAATTTAAATAGACCGTGATTTCATAAAGTTTAATAAGAGTATTTTATTTAATGACTTTTATCAGTCAGAGATTTCAACTGTCTGATTCAGTTTAACTTTTAACACAAGTCAAATCCTTTGGTTAAAGTGATAATATTGTTAATTAATGAAAAAAATGTAAATATTTTTATTGTTAATTAAATTGAGGGACACATAAATTTTGATAATTTGAATAATTTATTTTGTAAAATTTTTAATAAAAAAGTTAAACTAATCTAATAATCGTATAATTTTTATTTTTTCACATTTGTTTAAAAAAATATATATATATTTATGATATATTTTTTGTAAGGGTCATGCTCCGGAGCTCTAATTAGAGCTGCAAAAGTGCAGCTCTAATGAGCTGTCACCTATATAAAAAAAAAAACAAACAAACAGTGAAGTAAAAGACAAAAAAGAGGGAAGAAAAAGATAAATTAAAGATGCATTAGGGATTCTTTTTTAATGGTCCAAATCATTTTTGTTTTTGTAAACAACAATTATTGAAACAAGCAAAAATGTTAGTTAGACTTTAAGATTTGTTGGATATTTGATAGTTTTCTAGGGTCGCTAGTATTTTTTTATTAGTATGGCTCACCTATCATTTGGCGGCAAAAGATTAATTTCACCAATCTCCACATCTTCAATCCCCAATGAGGAATAGTCCCTCTCCGTACAAATGTCGTCCTTGCAAGTCTCATTTTCGATCCACAATTAACTCATCTCCAGTCCGTTATTGGACGGGAGGGCGCCGTTCAGTTGTTGTGGACTTTTATCTAGATTCATTTACATGATTTAAATTGTTTAATTTGTGAAGTTTATTGTGTATATTATTTTTATAAAATATTATATTGATTGAGTATTGATAGACATTTCATTAGATTATATTTCTGTCAATGGCATGTATAATTTTTAAAATAAATTGTGATAGAAATGTCATTTGATCAAATGGATATCGATATCCAATCACCGTAAATTTTTACAAGGATATTATACTCAATGGATTTTACACATTAAATTATTTAAATTATCAAGATGGGTCCGAATTAGAGTCCAAAATAGCCCATAGTAATGGACCGGAGAGGAGCCAACTCCCACAATTACCATTCAAAATCATTTATTGCCTAAAATTTTTAGTGAAATTCATATATATAAAAAATTAGCATATCATCCGTACCATGTACAGGGTTGAACAATGATCGATAAAATTTTTTTTAATTAATTAATTTTTTTTTATAATAAACTATCTTCTTTCTTTTTTTTTTAATTTTTTAGTCTTTAGTGATTTTTCAAAATTATGTCAGAATTTTTTATTTTTTCAATTCGTCTTGTGTAGACGAATATATGTAAAAAATAAAAATTGAAAAATTTTACTAAAAAAATTGAAAAATTCAAAATAAGACAAAAAAAAGTTTATTATTTTTTGCTTATTTGTGTCTTTTTTGTAATTTTTTTCAAACTTTTTAAAAATTTCAAATTATATATGTTTAAAGTTTCACTTCGACTTTGTTTTTTAAATTGGATGTAGCTAAGATGTAATGCTCCCAAATAAATGACATACATATAGAATTCCATGAACTCATCCATTAAATAATTCAATTCAATTAATTAAATCTCTAAATTGATATTTCATTCATGTATGAGATTTACAAAAGGAATCCACATGCACTACACATTTAATCTTTCCTAAGTTGAATCCATAGCATGTATGCACTACACATTTAATCTTTCCTAAGTTGAATCCATAGCATGTGTTACTGACAAGAAATAAACAACAAAAGAAATGCCTCAAGGGTTATAAGTTTCCGAGGCTCAAGCCTGATTATACAAAAGTGGTTAACACCCCATACAACTTAAGCTCTTGGCTTGTCAAAATAATCACAAAAATAAAAAAGTCTTGGGCTCTTAAAAGACATTCCACGCCTTCAGCTAAGTGGAATCATCACATCTTTTCCTTCAAAATTTCACTAGGGGTGAGTACAAAATCTAGTAGAGATATCTTCACAAAGTAAATATGTTTAAGCAGTCTTATACATGTGGATGCAATATTATACCATGCTCCAAAATCACAAGTTTTGTTCCTTTGAAAATCATATACAATGATCCTTTAAAGAATGTCTTTATCATTAATATAAATTCTAAGATTTAAGACGGAGTGGTAAACATGACTCAGGTAAATCTCCAGGACTAGTGTTTGTAAGTAGGCGTATCAAGTACTGCCAAATCCTACTTTACCGGCTTCTAATCGAAGGGCTAGGCACCCACATGCGCGTGTTTCTGGTCTTACACCAAGGATACTCAGGCCAACTTAATTCTCGACTACACCCTCTAATCGGATTTCGCACTGCATTTACCCCAAAACATTTCAAGAGCAACACTTTTTTCCTCTCAACAACAAAACCATTTCCAAGGCTTAGCTGTAATAAACCATATTCCCAACTACACAAAATGAATGAGTTGAAATGAAATTTTATAGTTTCAATATATATATGATTCCTCTACAGTCCTCAACATTTGTTCGATGCGAAAAGAATTTTCAATGCATTTCTCAAATCATAAAACCGAAATCTATACCCCATGTGACATGATATCATTTCATATTCACAATCAATGGTCATTTTCATTGTCATGGTCCAAGCATATACAATCATGTTATTCAATAGATTTCTTCAACAACATTTGTCCATCTCATGGATATCTAAATCAACATAATCACATGCGATAATTTTATCATTTCCATAAGGAAATTTCTAGCAATTTCATGAATCTTTCATAAATTTCATTTTCCCCCAAACTTCCAATATCTAGGGTTTGATGAAAAGAGGGTTGTTCTTTATTTTCTAAACATTTTCCTCCATGTATTCCGAAGAGATTCACAAGTTCATAAACTACCAAATTTGAGATAAGTCAAAAGAAGTATCACTTTCCAACATTTTCAAGGCCTAACACAATAAATTTCAAACCCCCACTAAATAATCATAACAAAATAGGGAAAACATGCTAAAACCATATATATAACTCAAAGAATCTCCGTACCTCAACATTTGGGATGAAAATGAGAGAAAATCTTCAAAAACAACGGCGCCGAAATTCGATCTCCATCGTACAAAACATAGCCCTTGATGAGCTCTCCAATATTAATGAAGGCACTAGGGTCAAAAACCCAATGGATTTGGGTAGATCAAGGAAATAAATGAGGTGGATGGAGGGTTTCTAGAGATAGATAATGTAACGCCCCGAACTAATTACAACAAGACCAACCCACGACTGATATTAAATAGTAACAGATGTCTGAATATAATGTTCGCCCATTCATAAGGTTTCATCTCTTTACAAAAGTGTAACACATGCAGTAATACATTCATAAATCCTAACCCTGAATCTATAGCAAGTGCCATAGCAAAAGATATTGAAATAAGAGTTAAACAGATATAATAATGCCTTATTGGCTGCAACTTTCCAAGACTGTGCTTAGTTACAACAAAGTAAGTTTAAATTCAATACGAACAAAGCCCTAGGCTTGTACACAATAATTTCAACAATAACAAAAATATAAGCTCTTGACTCCAAGTCCTCTCAAGCTATTGCCTTGGCGAAGGCGTATCATCAGCACTTGAAAATGGTTTTCCATATAAGGTGAGCCAAAGCCCAGTAGAGATACTCTAACACAGTGTATGAATCTTAACAGAGTTGTACGGTGAATGCATATGTAATGCTCGTGCCAAAACATTTTATATCTCTTTCCAAAACCATGTAATGCCAAGTTTACATCTCAATTCATGCAATCAATTCCTTTTCAATAAAAACAGGGCAGTGGATACAATACTGGGAATCTCTAGGATGTGTCTGCAAGTAGGCTACAAACATTACCAAGTTGTCAATTTCACCGGTATTAACCGAAAGGCTTGACACTTAACCGCGCGGGGTCTCTAAACTTTTACCAATGACACACAGGCCAACATAATATCACAACTACACTCCTACCTAGATTCACCAAGGTATTCACCTCTTTTTCTCAAAACAACAACATTTTCAATGTGTTAAATATGTTACATATGCTCAATGTAAATGGATGAGAAAATGGTTTCAATTCACCCAATTATTATGTAATTTCTATAACAATCATAGCTATCTGTAGACGTCCGCCGAATGCCCCGGGGAGGAACGAGTCCCTCTGTTCCGTTCGATATTGGGCTCACTACAGTTTGGACTCTCAATTTGTCACGGTTCTAAATCTGAACCAAAGAGTCCAAATCCGGCAAATCGTTTTGAGAAAACAGATTTTGAAAGAAGTGCCAAACATGGACTACTTTGCCAGATACAGAGTCGCCACCTAAATATTTTATTTTGAGAAATTTAGAAAATCCTGACTCGTTGCCTAAGGCCACGTGTCCGTCATCACCAAAGTTGCCTCGGCTCGGGAACTTGGGTACGATTGGGGAAGGTCACTTCGTGAGCACCCCCGCTCGCCCGATCAAAGATCGGCCTCTACTAACCATGATATCTATTTTTGAAAACATTATGCGTTCTTATTCCGGTTATTAGCCTAGATTTACTATGTGATGCGCACATTTATATATATATATATATAATAATAATAATAATTTAAAAAATTTGTGTCAAAATAATTAGTTTATGAGACAGAAATAAAC